TCCTGTTTATTCATTGCTATTTGCAGTCACTCACTACGATAGTCGCCCTACGTGATATACACATGACAGGTAGTTATTTGATACATTAATGAATAAAAATGCTACGTAGCATTACTCTTATTCATTAGTGGAGAATCTTTGGGGAGTGAAAATAGTAAAAACTTTTGTCCTTATCTCGCTGAATTTCAGACACTTGGTTCCAGCAAACCAGATTTCTGTTTGTGAAATTAATTCAAGATTTGTGGAGAAAACAATAACCTTTTGTTTGGTAAACCATTTTTATTTTATTTTATTTTAAGTTAGTCAAAATTCATTTTTAATTACAAATTTTATTGAACCAATCTCAAAAAGCTTCGTCAAATAGGGGCTAAATGATTGTTGAAAAAAATAAATTAAACATAAAAAATAGAGGGTTTGTTTGAATGTATAAAAAAAATTATTTTTTAAATTAAAATATGCTTTCTGTTATGATCAATATGCATTTTATGAAGAAAAAATCTCTTAAGAGATGCTCAAAGTAGTGCAAATGTATTGCAAGATATATATCAGTCACTATCTATTGGATAATTTATTTATTTTTTAATTAAATTCAATTGGAATCCTTTTATATGTTCAAGCCTGTTATTAGCCAAATCTAATAATTAATTTATATTTTTATGTTATCTAAAAGTTGTTTTTAGAGAAGATCATTTTTATTTAAGTTTTATTCAACACGTCGTTTCACATGATTTAAAAATAAATAAGTAAATATAAGAAAGTTAAACACATACACAATTTTTATATATATTTAACGTCCATGCTCAAATTTGTATCTTTGTCTGTCTTTTATACGACGTTAATGACTTCAATAACTTAAACTATTAGAGACGTTATATTTAGATTTCGTCTTCAACTAGTCTTGACGTAGAAAATCTCTGATCTGACTTCTATGAATCCAAAGAAATTATGTTATATTTATGTGGACATTGTCATTTAAGAAACTTGTTTCATACAATACTTGTTGCAACGAATATAAAGGAATCAACTTGTGTGGAGTGTAAAGAAGTACCTTAATATAAGATATATACCAAATGCTTATTCCACTAAAGATTTGGGGAATTTGTATTGATTTTCTAGTTAGTTTATGTTTGTTTTTTGCGCATATTTTTGCTTTTTATTTCTTTTTTAGCCCTCCCACAGGTTCTCCTCCAAAACTCGAAGGTTCTCAAGTCTCGGAAAAAGCATGTGATGGATAAACATGTCAAAAAACAAGGTCAATAATACACGGAATTTAATGACTTTATTTTATTAGCTTCATTTAATAAATCCATCTTTGAGCTCCATTTTTTCCCTTTTCTTACGGTACTCATTTTCAACCACAAATTTTTTATTAAAATAATATTACATGCAAATAAAAAAAAATATTATTTTTTAACCATATATTTCCCATTCATTTACTATTTCATAACACATTGCAAGAAATTAAAGGAGCTCAAACAACGCCTAAATAATAATTTCGTAAGATTCTTAATTATTTAAAATATTACCACTTCAAATTTTTTCAACTAAAACAATGAAAATTTCATCTGTTTAATTATGAAAATAAAGTGAATCATTGAATTATAGAATTGTAACTAGGATTATTTCATAAAAAAACAATTATAATTTAAATTGGTTCTGTTTTAATTCAATATAAGTCAAATATAAGACTAGCATGCCTAAAAAGTGTAATATTATTTATTTATCCGAATTATACAGTATTAATTTTTAAATATAGTCCATGCTTTGAAAATTACACCTGATTTTAAGCTAAATTTTAAGATCACAAGCATGTTTGCTTATATCACATCACATTGAGCAGGCCTTTGTTTTTCTTTCCGTATTTCATTATATTTATGTTCTTAGAGGAGTCAATGATTTATTTATTTTTTTTCGTCATGTTTTCTAACGGTTGTCAATTCAAAAATCAAGAAGCAATCGAGCCTAATTATTGGGAAATGAAGACTAATTTCTTTTCCGATAGTTTTATACGAAAGGAGCCTAATTAATAAACTAAACAAAAGCCTTAGTCAAGAATCCCAATCCTTATGCCTCTTTACAGGGAATAATGTTTCTTTTCTTGATATTCTAAACACATTTACAAACATTTATGTAGCCCATATTTTGATATTGTTAAGTAAAGATGAGGATGGACAATATATGAAAGAAGAAACAAGAACTTAAGATATAAGTAAGAATTTAGGACGGGAAAAAATTACGGGTTGATGAGGGATACAAGAGGTGCGACACTTCGACTACTCCGAATGATATGTTATAATGAAACCCTAATATATACATCATATATTTAATAAAATAGGCCTCTCGGCTAATCCCTCCGCTACCACTACAGACCCCCTTCCACTTTTCATGATTCATGTAGATATATGACTAGAAATAAATTCATCTATATTAACTCTAGATTCATGTAGATTTAGATTAACGTGAATGTTAATTAATTAAGAATTAATAACACAAAATTCATAAATAACAAGGATTTTGTAAGATTAAAATCGTCTAAAAAATTATTCTCGTTTAATGTAATAATGTTAATATATATTATAGATTTACTAGAAATCTAATATCTATATCAAACGAGATCTTAATCTCAAGTGAAAATCACGACGATGTCCAACTAATAATACATGCTTAAAAGCCACTGGATGAATTATTACTGATTATAAAAATAATTGAAACATGTATGGTCAACTTAGAAAATATTTATAATTATTAGTAGTTTGTAGCATGCTGGATGGAATTCCCTATTCATGGGTCATCCCGCAGCCAAGCGTGCTCAATCTGCACAATTTATTATAGACTCGTGCTTTTGTGCTCCCATCAGAATGTCAACTTATACGCATGTTCAAGGTGATTACACTATATATTTTCTTAAATAA